TTGGACCAGTAGGCAAGCGTGGGTAAAGAGTTATTAGCAATGCAGCAACAGCACCGTTACTAGTTGAAAACGTCCGTGTACCTCCCCCAAGAAACAAGAATCCAATAGCTAAGCTTACCTGAAGATAATTTAGAGTCTCAGTTGATTACAAGGATCCTTTTAGGTTTACATGTAGAAGTCAAGATCCAAATTAACTTAGAAAACTTACTGCCATCTGAATGCCGTAGTTAGCATGACCATCAGTAGAATTTCTACTGCGCAAGAATCTTAAGAGACGAAAGGTTTGTAAATTTCCAGAGCCAGCCATTACCTGTTCACAAAGTCATCACCTGGGATTTAGATCCTACATTAGTGAAGATGGGTGAGAGGAAACAAATAAAGATTCTGCTTACCACGGACAAGGAAAGAGCAATTAAATGGACACATGTCTCCAACGTGCCTCGATCAATGTAGCGAGACAATCCCTTTGGGAAGGGACTTTCCTTCTCTATGGAGATAGGTTTGATCTGCAAAACAGGAAAAATGTCATACAAGAATTAAAAGGCCTAGAGGTGCAACAGCTAGTTCTGCGTCTGACCTCATTTAGGAAGTAGACAGCATAGTTATAAAGTAACTCCTGCGCATCTGCATTCTTCGTACCAGCAAACCTCAAACCTGTCCCAGAGCTCACAATTAAGACTCCCAAGTTTAAATGTAAAATGCTTGTCTCACAATAATTTAAAGCAAGAAGGTCAAATTCTAGATTTCTTGAACATGCATCAAAGACATGGCATTAAGCAATAATATGGAAGAACATGAATAAACATAGAACATGCAGATGAAAAGAAAATTAGGCATACAAATGCTTGTAGTTACGTGCATGTTTCATGCACATATACGATGCTACCAGAGGTGCATTTCTGTTTGACATATATCACAAGTCTCAGTGAGATTTAAACAGAAACACAAGTGACTATTGTTGGTCATATTAAATCCATAAAAATGACATCTTACCAATAGAAATACATGCTCCAATTATTATGTTGACATAAGCTTGAACAAATGCTTCGGCATCCAATTCATCAGTATCATTATCATCACTCTTGAGGCACTTGACAACATTCTTAACAATTTCAGGAATCTGAGATTCGACCCAGTTTCTGGATGGATGAACCCTACAATAGTTTATTTCATCAACATATGATCTTAATGAAGGAATAGGACATCTGATTGCTGCAAATCTGACTAAAAATTGGTACCTGCTCCACATTATAAGATTTCGAGCTATGACGCGAATCATGATGAAGTCAGGTCTCACATATTGCAAGTCAAAATTTGTCTTAGGGATAGATAGCTTTGACATAATCGCAACTGATTCAGTCTGTCAGACACGCCAAGCAGAAAACAACTTTAATTCCACTCATGCATATCAATTATATTATTTTATGCTGTTTCAGACAGCAAAAATAGATAGTTTCATATAATTACTTTCAAGAACATTAACGCGAGAGCAATAGTAGCTCCAGGGGCAGTGACATCAACATTGACTACGGTCCCATCCACCATCTAAATGAGAGCAAGAAAACAATATATCAGATTGCTTGCACTACATACACATTTCATTGACAACATCTGGATGAGGGATTATTTTAGAGAACAATAAGTATAAAAATCAACCCTATTTTTTTAAATAAGAGATGAAAGTTTTCATCGATGAAATAAGACTAATGCTCAAAAGTTACAAACTCCACAAGGGAGTGAATAATAAGAAAATAAAAGGAGAGTGAATAATAAGAAAATAAAAGGAATACAGCGGAAGGTAAAAACATGTTAAATGAGACATCAATCTTGGATAGAATGCCCAGCAAAGAGGTTGGTGAGAGCACACAAAGAAGAAGCCTTCAAACGAGCCTAAATGAACCGATCTGACCAAAGAGGATTCTTGGTATTGAAAATCCTTTGATTTCTTTCAAAACAAACTATCAATGCCGAAACTTTTAACCATATTGATGTGAATGATGGAGAAGACAACTTGCTCCTTAAATACGACAAAGGAATTTGAGGAATCATAAATAGGTGGTTGGATTCTTTGAGAAATTCAAGAGCCCAACCTTAATTGATCCAATAAGATGAAGAGTCATGCAAAAAAATACCAATAAAGGATTTTAAGCATCATATTCTAACGTCACAGAGTTAGATTAATCAACTCTCAAGAACCCCATCATCGATGCATTAAATGTTTCTTAACCACCAGCAATGCTTCATGCAAGGGACCTAATAAGTAATAAATAACTTTTCCAAGGAATCTCCAGTAATAGAACTCCCACCAAGGACTCTTCAAACAAGGAAAAAATTGAAACTATTCCTTAACTTCATACAACCTGTGTGATCATACGGTTGTGCTCCTCTGTAGAGAGAAGAGAAATTTCTGGCTAAAGAATAAGACAGGAACAGATTCAGATAAACTATAAAATCAAGTTCATCATACCTTGCAATTTTTTAGTTTATGGGAAGTACAAATAACAAAATAAAAGATTAAGAGCGTGAGACCTTACATTACAAACTTCTTTTCCACCAATGTAGTTGAATAATCGATCAACTATTGAATCTGTAAAACCAACTGATTCTTTGCCTCGACCTTCATTTGACAGAACAAAATTAGTATTTACTGCTCACACCTTCAGTTACCAATTCGCAATGATTAGAATAAAACTAATCATACCCAATGCAACAAGACCCAAGGAAAAGCCTGCTGAAACAGCATAACCCTCTCGTTCAAGGACATTATCACCTCCACTTCGCCGGCCTATTTCTCCCTGTAACACAAATATCAAACATGTAAAATTAATGATGAAAGAATACAAATTTTTTTTTTTTCTCAATATATTTATATAATTTTATTTGCAATTGATATTTTTTTTAAATGAAGAAGAATAAGTCTTACTAGGTATAAGTACATATAGACACCCCCCCCCCCCCCCCC